CATTACATATAGAAAGAATAATAGAAAAACACAACAGTTTGTGATGAACATGATACAACTGTATGTGCGTCAATAACATCCGTACCTCCTGTGCCTTCCCCTGCATCGCCAGCCTGGCCGTCCCCAGCTGGGCTGTTGTTGTTGTGTGTGTTAGATCCTGCATAATTATTGGTGGATAGAATAATGACAAAACATTCATAGTTATTTACATAGCACTTGTAGAGCAAGCACTTGCCCCGAGAGCTTCACGCTATAATGAGTAAAGTATATGAAGTTCGGCATGCACAAGACCACAAAAATGTGTTGCACATGCACAGGGGTTTGATGGCCAACATGTCCAAATCAACGTACGGTCTCTGTTTTCTAGTGTCCAAAACTTGGGTATAATAATTATAGAGCCGCCGTATTAACACTATTGCCCACCTGTCCACTGCACATGGAGACACTGGGCCTCAGTCACCGTGAATCGATTCGGAAAGAAGTCGTACTCGACGGCGGGGTAAGTCTGAACAATGTTCCCCCTCTTTCCCCTCACGTTCAGGTTGAGTATCTCGCAGCTGCGGGCCTCGGAGTTCGTCAGGAGGGAGCGGGGTCGGAGTTCGAAGACGTGGCTTCGGTCCTGGAAGGTCCGGCCAAACTGGGCGGTGTTGATGGCGAGACGGAGCGGCTTGTTGGTGGTGGCGCCGATGTTGACATATGGGTTCTGCGTGATGGGGGAGCGGATACCAAAAAACCTGTGCGATTCAGGAATAGGACAATAATATGCTTCAATTATAATACAGGTCAACCTGTACTACAGAAGAGGCACATAAATGAGTGGTGGTGGTGGTGAAAATGAAAGCACAGTTTAAAACTGGATAACCACACTGCATTCACAAGTGAACACATCAAGTAGAACCTTTATACAAAAGCTTTCTCACAAAAGTTGGTGGAGTGTGCATGCAGAAAGTTTTTGGTGTGCAGATAGGTACATACATAGGCTGTAGAGACTCACAGGTTTTCATTGTAAGAAGAGTTGGTTCTCCACGGATCGTAGTCATCAGTGGAGATATTGTACCTGCAGAAGGTGAGTGGGTGAGAGAGAGAGAGAGAGAGAGAGGGAGTGAGAGAGATAGTAGGTGAATAAGGACAGAAACCCTTTATGTTGAAGCCACTGGGGACGGGACAACAGTTGAAGTCAGACTGCGGGTGTACAATGGGAACAAAGACTCCATCCCCAGGGAATTGCCATTTGAGTCAGGGTTTGTTTCAAACACACGCCACATACACACACGCGCATTACTCATGTTTTACGCATAATATTACACAAGTATACAGATGGTGTTGTCTCGCCCAACTCCATACATAGCTTCGAGTCTAAGTATAGGGGAATTTAAAACCACTGTCAATCCGTTGAGGGAATATCACCCTCTCACAGCATGTGCCATCTAGGCTACTGGTCACCCTATCTTATAACACTGCATGACCTAAACCAGTGATTGTGCCATTTTCAAGCCACACTCCACACTTCACTGGTGTCAGAATGAGCAGAAACATGATCAATGAAAAAGGCAAAAAACCAGGGTGAGAAAGAGCTGGCTTATTATGAACCCTCAATCTTCTAGGCAGTGGGGCAGGGCTCAAATCACACTGTGCCACCAATGTGTGCAGTGCCTTATTGTGTGTAAAGTCAACCCACTCTCTGTGCTACAACTAACACCAAAATTGGAGGTATAGTTGGACATTGGCCACAGCTGGTATTTGGTTAGTCTTTCTCTTACTCCAGTTCCTTCTTGCTCCCAGCCACAACCCAGCCACAACCCACCCACACCATACCATGTTTGGAGGACAAAACTAAGTAATTGGCGAGTGAACCAACACACCTAGTTTGTCCTTCCTTTTGGCGTAATAATGCACGATTTGAACGTTTTGCGCTTGTATTCGCTTGCATTACCTGATCCTGAGGACAGCAATCTTGTTTTTGCCACTCGGGAAGTAAGGAGACGCCAGGTGTAATGAGGGTTCCCTCACGGCCGTTTCCGAGGTGATTAACCCTCGTCCACCCGACCTGCTGGCACTCCGGAGGGCCCGGGAGACGAGGCACTGCGCGGGCACGTCGTAGCTGGGTGGGCTCCAGACCACCCGCCAGACCATCACCACTGCTGGCTATCTCTGCCTCGCAGGCTCTCTGGTTCGCTGCCGAGGAGATGTCGATGTGAGGCATACTCCGTGAACCACACTCCTGGGTCTGAACAACAACAACAGAAAACATTAGGTGTAGTTTTGTCTGTACAGTTTCCAATCACAGCAACGAATTGGTGAAAGTTTTCACGTGTAAACACTATGCTAACACATTAATTTATCAACACAAAAACATATGTGGTGCATAAAGCACTCTGTTGTTTGTGTGAAAAAGAATATTTAGTGCTATCATTCTAGTTGCATGAGTATACTGAGTCCTGTTAGTCGTGTATGTATCTGTACTCACCTTCATCCCCCTCACAATCCTCCTGGTTGTGTGAGGGAGTAAGGCCTCCCGCCGGCTTCGTCCCCAAATTTCTGGCCGCGACAGATCCCTCGTGGCTTGACGTTGAAACTCTCGTTCTTGTAGAAATTGCAGAGTGTAGAGTGTTGTCTGTCAAGACTGCAATATCCTGTTGAAAGAGACACGAAGTACATTTTCCGCATTAGTGGTAGGTCATGTGCTTTAACCATAAACAAAAAATTCTCAATCAAAGGCAGCGTCAGTGAGGATCACATGACTGGTGATGATGTAACACACGTACCCTCCAGGGGGTGTGGGGGCAATAGAGTAGTAGTCTCTCTCCTCGGGACACTCGTAGCCATTTCTGTTCCCGTTGGGTTCTGTCTCGTGAACCTAGCCGTGCTCCCACGCAGATCTGGTCAGCCGCGAATAGATCTGCGGAGAAGATGAGAAGACAATAGTAATGTCCTAGACTGGACCAGGCATTCCTGTGTTTCTGTCTACATATACTTCTTCCTCTCTTCTTCTCTTCAGAGACAAATTAATAGTATTCGTGCGACTTCAATAATGTGTCCACTGGCAATAGACAACACCACTATGTTAATCACATTCACCCTCAAATAAAGTAGTGGGACTCTCTCTCTTCTCTCTCTCTCTTCCGATTACTCAGACTACATGATTCCTTCTGTCTTATGGTGCAGTCTGCGTAATAGTCGTAGCTCTCATGGAGCCCCCTATCCACTTCACATTGCCTTCTCTGCTGTTTTGGTAGTTATCTTCTGCAGTATTCTCAGAGGGCTGGGTAAAATCCTGTCTCTGTGTACTAGTTCCATCCCTGATCCTAGTGAACTTATTTGTATCCAGCTCCTCTGCCGTTTCTGGGGTAGAAAGTAAAAGAGAAGAGAGAGAGAGGGAAAAAATGGGGTGTGATGACACGGAATTCATAACTGGTAGAGACACTGGGGCAGTATACCTACCTCCAAAATGCTGACAGCTTACCCTTTTTAGTCACACACTACAAAGATGCTGGTCTAGCACCTAAACACTGGTATTCACACATGATTCTCATCTTCACCACCTCATAACAAAGCAACACCCATACAGCCAGCTAGTGTCCTAGAGTCCGTGTTGCTAGCTCTGCCAGAGATATCGCATACTGCGTCTGCACATCTACGTGAATGACATACATATGTGTTGTATAAACTATACCAATAGCAGAAAAATCCGGCGTGCACGGTATATACTATTACCCATAGATAGACTGGCTACTACATATACATCTGGGTCTAGCCATGACATGTACTGGTATGACCATGTGCAGTTGAGTTGTGAGGTCGTGTCCTCATGGTCCACCACAGCCTGCTGATGGTCCACTCTACCGTCAGATAGCTACAACTTCCTCTGCCCACTGCCAGTATATATCTGACAGAAATGAGATTTCAAGGCCGTTTTTAGACATGAAAATTTGGGGCATGCTAGCAAAAAACTTCAAGGCACATACTGTTATTTTGCTAAAGGAAATTTAGATGTGATCAGTGCATGCTACAGTATGTATACCATGTAGTAGATTCCTGTTCAGATCCGAAACGCCCTGTGTTTTATCCACCCCTGCATTGTACCACCTCTGTTGGTTATCTGAAAGAGGAGGGAAAAACGGCCATACTAATTCTACAGCTGCGTATGGCGGAGCATCGTTTGCATCCCTCCGGCCGTCGGGTTTGCCCATTAGATAAAATGGATGTACACATTGAGAGTGAATCAGATCTGTTTGCGTGTTCTGTGCCGATCGCTCTGTTGAGGGATCGTGTTGCTGCCGCGAGGTTGTAGACATGTACGTTGTCGCCCAGCGCGCGCGAGAAGAAGGTGCAGAGGCAGCAGAACACACGCAGACAACGAAGAATGGCTCATCTTCTCCACAGCGCCACTCATCTTTTTCAGCTTTCTGTGACGATAAATATAAAAGTCTCAAAAGAAACGAGCCGCCGCGGAGAGAAAAATGCGACAAGAACAAGATAAGCGTTCCTATAAAACCTCTGCCAGTGTCCGACTGGCACCCCTATAGAGAAAAGGATGGGCGTTTCAACAGCAGCTCGTTATCCGCGGTAATAGCTTACATGCTTTATACCAATAAGCACCCCTGCCGACACCTGCGCGCGTCTAAAGATAGCCGACGGCAGGCCCCAGGAGTCACATATTCGGTATATAGCCGCATCTCTCCGACAGAGGTCAGTGTCACCATGATCTTCACGTCAGAGTGGACTACGACACACGAAAATGAAGGCGCAGTCATTTTCTGGGCTCTGCCGTCTGCGTCCACGCGGGACATGTACATTCAACAACCACCCAAGGTAGCTGGAAAAAAAACCTTGCCGATCTAGCGGTCACTAAATTGTTCACTCGCAACATCGCCTGGCTGCGTCTCTGCAGGGAAGTAACAATCGTAGAACAGGCAAAAGAGGGAAAGGAACACAACGCCAACAGGAACTTTCCTCAAATCGCCATATGAGTTGTCACGGGTTGCGGCCAAAGCGGATCCGGAGATCCAAATTATGTTGTTGCAAACGACAAGCAGCAACTGTTCCACTTTCATCTCTTTCGTAAAGAAATCAAAGTTCATGCCTTTGCTGCGGCAGGATGTGACTGCAGAACAAACAACCGTGGAGGCTACAACGTGGGAGTCTGATTAAACACGGGGCTCATTCTCTCCTGGAGTGGCCAACCAACCTCCTCGTGTGCTGAACCCCAACAACCACTGACGAGCAGATCGTCCAGTACACGGCGGCGACCTTGGTTGCGCGACGGGGGCAACAACTCAGTACGGGGGACAACTGTCCCATTAAACGATTTGACACCACTTTCTCCAATTGCTGGCTATGGATCGAAATTCACTTTTGTCTGTGTTTCTTTTCTTTCAGGACGATTCAGATAACCGGTCAACTGTGTAGATTTGGACTGCAACAATGCTATAGAGTATGGGATGCACGAAGGAAATACGCTATACCTCGAATGCCTACTGCGTCAGCGCAACGCCGGACCTCTTCCAAATAGCGGAAAGGGTATAGTGGCAAATTATACGGGGGAAACTGTTGAGAGCAATGCCGTGGTTAAACCACCGACAAAAAAGGTGGCAACATTTTACGCATGCCAGTTTAAGTTGACCACTACCAGGGTTTTTAACAGATTGTAGGGAGGTTTAAAAGGAGAAGGGAGAAAGAAAATGGTCACTGATGATCTACATGAATCTGTACGTCACTAGAACCTGGAGCAAAACTGCTCTGTTCACACGTCAGAACGGGAACGGGGAAACCGCCCCGGGTACGAGGTCCGAGGAGAGAGACTTAATACCCTACTGGCCACCCAACCCCCCTGGGGTTACGTGGAACATATCACCAGTCATGTGATCCTATGTGGATCTTCACATGATCACTTCACTTTACTCCACTCTTTCTATCCCTCTGTGTCTCTTGCAGGATGTGATAATCTTCACCAACGATGGTCTCGCGTGTCCGTACTCAGTCAGAGAGCCAGAAAACGTACAAGATCGTTTTGGCTGTGTCCTGCTCCTAGCTTCCTCACCACGGATTCACTCCGAAGTAACAAAACCTATCATCCCAACACCGCAGGAGGGTGTGTGAGGTTGGGTGAATGTTACACTGCCGTACTAACACTTTAAGCTGAACTGTTCCTAAGTAGATTACAATGCACTTAGTTACTGGGGTTTCGCCACAAAAGGAAGCGAGAAGAGAACAATGGGTAACTTACTTACCCTGACTTGTTTCTCAAGTAGAAGTTAGAAACAAAGTTGACCCGACGGGGAATGACGAATAAAGTTGATACTGATGCATTGCGTAATAGTATGGATGATGCTGGGCTTTCTTGCATTGAAGCAAATCCTCACCCTCATCTCCCTCCTCTCCCTCCTAAACATACTCTACCTAATCAACATAATAACCCTCAATCACCCTACTTCACTCCTTCACCACCTCCTCTCCCTCGTGCGCATGGGGAAAGTTGTGTCTGAAGAAGGAAACGGAAAACCGGGACCAAGTTCCCTCCCGATTCCCGCCCGCGCTCTGTCCCGGTGCATGAAGACCCTGTGGAGCCGAGATATATAACCTTGGCAATTACGATCGGGGATTCCCCATCAGTTACAACGGACCATCCCCGACTTGACCCACGAGCAAGTGTCCTGACGATAAGGTGAGAGCTAAGCAAAATTTTTTCCGTTTTCTCACGTTCTTCCGAATCTTGTTGTTCTTCACACCTATTGTAGCCCAGTCATGCTCATGAGCTACTTATGCACCATTCCTTTTAAGACTAGTTATAGTTTGTGCTTTACTGCGTTCAGCATCACTTCTTTGAAAAGGGGCTGCGTGAGTGAAGCAAACAAGGATCATTTGTATTACAGTGTTCAGTGCCAAAACCTCTCTCTTTTCTTGTTGTCCAGGTACAACATCCCACGGGAGAGACGACGGCCAGGGACAGGTGCAGTCAACTTCCAGCATCGGGGCACCGTAGATAGTGTTCTTTGCTTAACGGAGGCAACGGTGCTGGGCAAGGCTCTCCACTTGAACGCAGGCATCTCGAACTCACTGATGTCTACGAGAGGTTTGGGCTTCACCTATTGAGCTAAGATAGTAGAGAGTGTGGTATGATGCTAAAACTCCCTATTTTTGAAGGAGAGCTGAGGGACGGCAAAGTTATATTGCCGGGCATACTTGGTGGTGGTGTTATGAGTTAGCTTTAGCATGTTAGGCGATGACTTCTTCTGTTTTTTGGAGATGGTCCATCGTAGTAAAGGTGCAGAGCTGTTGGCAAATAGTATAGCGCAAACCTATAGCTGCATGAAATGCTGACTCATTGTGTATTGGATGGGTGTGTGACAGTGCTGATATAGCTCTTGTGTTTCTATCAGGGTGCATGTCTGTTACAGAGAGGGTATGTGTTTCAGGAGAACCCAGTGGTGAAGGTTTTCCCTGACGTGACGAAGACGTCAAAAACAACCGTTGGTCTCCAGTTGCCATAAACACAACCAGTGTGGACGGACCTTAAAGACAGGTCTCCTCTCTATCCCTATTCCTTCCTTCCATTTTCTTCCTTCTTTTTCTTTCCCGCCAACATATTTCCCAAGATCTCTCGCCCTGGGTACTCTCGAACTCTAGTCCTACCACTGTCTATTTGTTGAACCAGGTAAATTTCCCATCCCGCTGCTACTTTAAATCATGGGAACTTTGTGAAGTCAGCCCATTTTATCTATAGAAGTCTTGTCAACTCCCCAGTTGCTCAGGTTTTCAATAAATTAGGGCATTTTGGGTAGGTTTCAGCCACATCGGGTCACAGGAGAAGTGACTTGCACTCATTGGTGTGGGTTTAGTGCCAGTATCAACTGTTGACAGGCCAAAAAATCAGCTCCCATTGTCACTTGCGGTCTTGGACGGTGTGGGGCATTTCGGGTTCGAGGGGTGGGAGGCTGGGAACATGTTGACATGTGAATATCTTAGCTCTGCGTCAATGAAGTACATTTTGAATCGGTTACAGGAGGCACATTGCAGCCAGACTTACGGTGCTTCTGTAGTAGGAAGAAAGGAATGGTAGTTGTATTCGTCTTCTAGTGGCATAAAGACTGGATATCTGTGATCTCGTGACACTATGAACTTGATGAAAGAGACACTTTCTCTAAGCACACCACCAATGTAGTCAAATGACGAAATGGAACGATCCAGAAGTGGCTATTCTAGGGAAGTAGGAAGCAGACCCCACACAAAGCACAGGCAGGAGAAGCACCTCTCGGAAGACGCGTCGCCTCAAATGCCCTTACGACCCTAAAGAACGGCAATTCGAGCATACAGCCGCCCCCGAGTA